CATTGGAACCACAAGAATGGAGTCTCTCTTCTTCGTCTTGCTCTTGGTTTCCTTCTCATGTTTCACTTCTTCAGGTAAATCTCTGAATGTGCAGAAGAAGAAGATCACTCTCCTTCCTACACATTCACCTTCATTGCTCTGTTTGTCTCTTCTAAATACTTGTGTTCTCTGAATCTGCAGAAGCTCTCACCAGCAACAATGGAAACATCACAATCAAATGGGATCTCATGAACTGGACACCTGATGGCTACGTTGTAAGCTCAACTTCTTCTTCCTCTTGTCTCACTAAATCTCAGAGAGATATATATATATATATGCCTTAACTTCAAGATTGAATCCATCCATCTCAGGCTGTGGTTACAGCTTACAATTACCAGAAACAACGTTCAATTACTCGACCGGGATGGAAAATGAGCTGGAAATGGACCAAGAAAGAAATTATATGGAGTATGGTTGGTGCACAAACCACAGAGCAAGGAGATTGCTCCATGTTCAAAGGAAACATCCCTCATTCTTGTGTTCATAAACCAACAGTCGTCGATTTGCTTCCTGGAACTCCTTACAATCAGCAGATCGCTAATTGCTGCAAAGGCGGTGTACTAAAATCCGGTTTAGAAAGTGCATTCCAGTTAAGCGTTGGTAGTGCTGGTACCTCGGTTAAGACTGCTCGAATGCCGGTAAACTTCATGTTCACGGCACCTAAACAACAGTATATCTGCGGACCGACTAAGAATGTTAGGCCTACGAGGTTTATAACCGCGGACAAAAGGAGAATGACTTCAGCTTTGAGTAAGTTTTCCAAAGAGAATCATGTCCAGATCCATAATTCTGATTTTAAAACTCACTTGCTCTGTTTTTGTGTTCTTATGTAGTGACATGGAACGTTACTTGCGTCTTCCACAAAGCAACATGAAGTAACAAGGAAAGTCTCTCAAGGAAAAAACTCATAAGCAAATCTACCTTCGGAGTTTTTCTGTTGTTTTGTATGTTTTCATGTATCTCTTTATGTTTTAAGAAAATTAAAACACTATGATTTATTGGATTCTCTCCTAAACGGATTCCTTCCAGAACCGAACTGATCTGTCTGTTCCACAAGTAACAAAGACTGATTCAACCGGGGAGTGCTCGATCCAGCGGGTTGCACCACTATGGCTCGAAGGCCACTTTGCCACCTTCTCTGCGGTTCTCGCATCCCATGTAACGACCTCGTTGTTTGCTTCATCAATGGAGATTACAAACTCTTCAGTGTCATTAAAGATTGCCTGCATTAGCACGACAATGAAAAGTAGAAAACCATTAAAAAATAAGTAGGACTGTGTGAATATTACTGTTCTGTGGTTAAGAAAATCATCACCTGAGACCGCAGTTTTACCCGCTTTGCCCCGAGGTATTCCTTTACCATTCGACCCGAAGCTACTTCCCATAACTTAACTGTAGAATCCTTACCGGACGAGAGAACAAACCTAACAAAAGCCATAGGATCAATCAAGAACTATTGAGAATACTAGTGGTTTTTCAGAGAAAAATGGATTGAATTTTCTTTCTACCTTTGATCTCTAGTAAACACTGCACTTGTGACCTCTGATTTTCCGTGTGCACCGCTAATGGAGCGTACACACTTTGCGCTAACCCCATCAAAGAGTCGAATAGCTCCATCCTTTGAGGCTGTAACGTACACAGATCCCGTAGAAGAATACCGCACCTGAATGACCAAGAATCTCACAGCCATGATCATCACAAGAGATGATTATAGATAGCTCCTTAATTAAGATCGTTCAGACAACGTGTGAAATACCTGATTAATGGCTCCATTTACTCCATTGTCAGGGAAATTTGAAGGGAGAAAGCACTGATATGTACTTACATCGTACAGATGTGGAATCGGATGATCAGTTCCTGCAAAAGCCAAGATTTCAATTTCAAAATCATTTTTCTGATGGTCTCTACAGTAGAAAAATCATCTACTGTACGATTTATATTACTCTTGTGAAAGATCTCACACCTGCAAGAAGAAACTCTCCTGAAGGATGAAAAGATACAGAGCGCACGTTATGAGTATCCTGCAAAATTTTGAGTTATCGATTCAATGACATGCCGTGTTTTTCACCATGTAGCTAAGTAGAAACTGATAACACCCACGAGCTTTACCTGAAAAACTTTGAATGCTCGTTTAGCTGTGGTTTTAGAGAAGTCGAAGAACCTGTCAAAATTATAAGAAAAGACACAAATAAGAGGTGAACACAAACTTTTATTGATTTACGTAGAGAACAGAAATGATACTTTATACAGCAATCTTTGGCGCTAGATATTAGGATTGTGCTCCGAGGGTGGAAATCCATATCGTTTATTGGCTGCAAATGATTTTCATAACAATAAGAGATAACAGCAAAAATCAAAAATTTAGTGGCAAAACTAATGATAACGGGAAGACTTACTTCAGCATGATCATAAAAAGTCCGTATTAATGGTCGAGCTTGACTATCTCCTGAAAGCATCTGCTTTACTTTTGGCACCTCAAAGAAACAAAACGGAACATCCAAAAAAACTATCAAAATTCTTGATGATCCTAAAGAAAAATAGGTATGCAGAATGAAAATGAACAAAGTTTAGCACCTCAAAGAGCTTAATTGACGTGTCTGCACCGCCAGTTGCGAAAAACATTCCATCGGGACTAAATCTTGCACACCTAACAACGCTCTATAAAATTCATAAGCTTGTCAGCCAAAATACAAAATCTTGGAAAAACATATTAAGGATAGACCAATTTGTGTCTATTGAAATATGAATACTGCATATATATACCTTGTGCTCCGATAGCTGCTTCGATTCATGCTTTGGGAGAGTCTTTGATGCTCCCTTCAAATGAGTAACACTAGTTTCACAAAGTCATTCGCGGTTTTGATTTCATCTCTCAAGAAACATAAAAACTGTGTTACTCATTGGGGAAAAAAAACTGATATCACCTAAAGTCAATAGAAGGTGTTCGAGAAGTAGCGATTGATCCATAAGAAGTGGGTAACAAGACTGATGAAGAAACACCTCTCAATGTTCCGTTGTTCTCCGCTGCAAGACCCTGTTCTCATCTCAGAAACCAAACATTTCTTCTGATTTTTGTCCCAGAGGACAAGACAAATTCTCTCATAATAACACTCCCAAAACATAAACATCAGATTGTGGAAAAAAAGAATAACCTTTGCAACAAGCTCCAGAAGACGATTCGGAGGAGCTTCAACATTCAATGGTGTCATGGTGGCTGAAGCAACCACACTTGAAGCCTAAAAAGTTCGATCTCAAAATCAAAACTTTAAATCATTTGTATGAGTAATGAAAACACAAACTTAAGCACTTAACTACTACTCTTCTAAACCATCATCCTTTACGGTATATTATCAAATCAGAACGAACTATATATATAAACAAATTGCAAATTTGAACACTTTAAACACAAAAAAGAATCAAAAACTAGATATGCCCAGAAAAAAAATTCCAAATTGAGAAGCTGTAATTAGTAATTTACTCACTACTCCTATCCAAAATGGCTCATAGTGATGGATGCTATATAGGTGAATGTAAAGATACAAAATTGGAATCGGATTTTGATGTGGTAAGAGATCAAAGACAAGCCTGTAAGAGATTATGCTGACGTAGATGAGCGACGATGAGGGCATTGAGCTGCCTGAAGATATTTCCGTCTTGCAGAACCTGCTCCAAACCGCCATTATTGTCCATTTCTTTCTCCCTTTAAAACCCTAAA